ATGCATGTGGAATTCACCGAGCAGTTATTTGCTAGGCATCGTTAATGTTAGCTTCACAGATTTACCAGTCCAGCCTGCATCACACTTACAACGAAAAGAGTTCCAAGTGTCCACGCAAAGACCGTGATTGGAGCACAAATGTTTTGAGCAATTTGTAAGCGATAGCATCCACTCTGGAGATCTCCTTGCCGCTGAACTATTCCATACTGTATCTGAGATGTCATGTAATGATAAGCCTCTCATTTAACTTCAAATTTGAGATGCAGCCACGGCCTTGTGAATACTGACCATGGTAGCCTGTGGAGAGAATTCTTTTGTTACACATAGAGCTAATTCAATGATCAAAATCTCAATCTCAAGTAAAAAGTGGTTGGGGCATAGCACTCATAAGCGAGGAATGATTTGTGAATAAAGAAAGAGGATATGAAGGCTTGCATCTAGAAAACGTTCTAAGAAACCATTGCGATTAGTTCATCATAAAAACTGTCTCATATAGATGAATATGGGCTACCTTTCCTTTCATCTTATCTTGTAAATAAAATTATACGTGATCGATCAATCATATAGCCTAATACACAGAGAAATCATCTACCAGAAATGCTCCTTATAGGTTTAAAAAATTATTAGATAAGCATTTCTGATAAATATTTAAGCGAGAGGTACCAAGCCTAACTGGCATCACTTTGAAATGGCCTTTGAAGTGACGGCTATATTGAAAGCAGACCTCATTTGACCAATAAGAGAAACAGAGTCATACCTTTCACGTTGCCAATAAAAACATTCACAATTCCATTTTGTCTTATATCCAGTGAGTTTCTCCTTCCGGCCAACAATTTCTTTTGGACACATTATCAAGATAAGAAGTAAATACATTTCTGTTTCTTGTCCATTTGAAGCTGTGCCACTGTCCGTCATTCACACGTCTCATACTCACGTTGGCGAAAAATACTCCTGAAATAAATTCGAAGAATGTTTCATGTCGAAATTGCAATCTTTCGAGGTACACAAACTCAATTGAAGCAAGTTTTCTCAAAATATCCTGAAATCTTTATTGAATGTCTATGCAAAAGATATCCTTAGTACTGGTGAATTCTACATGCAGCACAATCCACACCAAAATTAGGAACCTGAGAGAACAAGGCTTGATTCTAAAGATAGAAAACAATTTTAAAGTGCAAATAGAAAGCATTGATCATATTATGATCTTAACCACCAATTAATAGGAAATATCCATTGATTAAGAAACCATTCTAAGCTAAACAAAAAAATGTAGGTTCTTAGATGTGAGTTTCTAACGTTTCTAGAAAAGCCATTAAAAAAGTTTCCAGAAGTAATTTTGCTCTGACTTAGACAAGGGCAAAACGCGGGGAAAGTCTAAGTGCTTAGGAAAACATTAATAATAGTCTTTAACCATGATGTTAGTCCGTTATGCCTCTAGGCGTAGATAAAAGGCAGGAACAAGAAAGGGAATAGTACTTAAATAAGCATAACCCATTTAAAGATATCATTGCTATATTATCATAGGCTAAATTGAACTTGCAGACTGTTCAAATCCACAGTGCACTATTGAGGGTAGTCTAAGTGAAGCTGTCACAAAATCTAACAGTGCAAGTGCGCTCACAGTTGCTTTATCGTAAAAACACAATCGCTTTTGCTAGCAAAGCAATTGATTTACTTTACTAAAACGTGATTTACCTGCTCCTAAATTCCACTCATCTTAACAAATCCATCTTGAAATCAATTCTGACAAAATCCGACGTGAGATTTCCAAGAGAAATAATGATGAGTTTTGGTCATATGTTCGGAAAGAAAAAGATGCAGTTCTCCCCACGCTAAAAACAGATGTGTTCAGAGCTAAATGAACGGGTTTTATCGTTGGACCAAATGTTGATGGCGCAGCTAAAAAGAACAAAACTTGTCTAGATTAATAGGGATTTGAGATGTTTTATGTTTTTTTTAACATTACATTCAAATAAATGCTCTTTCATCATGATCATTGAAATACTTTTCAAATATAAAATATTCCATGCATGCAAAAAATATGAAAACTTATTGATTAGAGCACATCTTGGTATACTACAAAACTCTATTTCAATAATGTCAATATTAGTATGGGAATATTTTATATTTGAAAAAGTATTGTCAATGACCATGATGAAAGAGCAGTTTATTTGAATGTAATAGTATAAAAAAAACAGTGAACATCTCAAATCCCTATTAATTCTACGCCAAATTTTTGTCTTTTAGCTGCCCATCAACATTGGCCAACCGATAAACCCGTTCATTTAGCTCTGAATCACATCTTGTTTTTAGCGTGGGGAGAACTGCATCTTTTCTTTCCGACCATATGACCAAAACGATCATTATTTCTTCTTGGAAATCTCCACGTCGGATTTTTTGTCAGATGATTTTGCAAAGATGGATTGTTAAGATGAGTGGAATTTAGGAGCAGGTAAATTCACGTTTAGTAAAGTAAATCAATGACTTTGCTAGCAAAAGCGATTGTGTTTTTACGAAAAAGCAACTGTGAGCGCACTTGCACTGTTAATTTTGTGACAGCTTCACTTAGACTACCCTCAATAGTGCACGGGTGGATTGAAACAGTCCAAGTTCAATTTAAGCCTTATTATAAGTATAGCAATGATATCTTAAAATGGGGTTAATGCATATATACTATTCCCTTTCTTGTTTCTGCCTTTTATCTACGGCCTAGAGGCATAACGGACTAAAACATCATGGTTATAGACTATTATTAAATGTTTTCCTAAGCACCTTTAGACTTTCCCCGCGTTTTGCCCTTGTCTAAGTCAGAAAGCAAAATTACTCTGGAAAATCTTTTTTAATGGCTTTCTAGAAACGTTAAGAAACTCACAATCTAAGAACCTACACTTTTTGTTTAGCTATAGAATGGCTTCTTAATCAATGGTATATTTCCTATTAATGGTGGTAAGATCATAAATATGATCAATGCATTCTATTTGCACTTTAAAATGTTTTCTTATCTTTAGAATCAAGCCTTGTTCTCTTCAGGTTCCTAATTTGGTGTGGATTGTGCTGCATGAGAATTCAACCAGTACTAAGGATATCTTTTGCAAATAAGCGACATTCAATAAAAGATTTCAGGATATTTTGAGAAAACTTGCTCAATTGAGTTTGTGTACTCGAAAGATTGCAACTTTCGACATGAAAACATTCTTCGAATTTTATTTCAGGAGTATTTTTCGCCCAACGTGACGTATGAGACTGTGAATGACGGACAGTGCACCCAGCTTCAAATGGACAAGAAACAGAAAATGTATTTACTTCTTATTCTTGATAATGTGCTCAAAGAAAGTTGTTGCGCCGGCGAAGGAGAAAACATACTGGATATAAGACAAAAATGGAATTTGAATGTTTTTATTTAGGCCACGTGAAAGGTTATGACTCTGTTTCCTCTATTGGCTCAAATGAGGTCTTGCTTCAATATAGCCGGTCACTTTCAAAGGCCATTTTCAAGTGATGCCATAGGCTTGGTACCCTCTCGCTTAAAATTAATCAGAAATGCTTATCTAATAATTTTTAAACCTATAAGGAGCAAATTTTCTGGTAGATGATTCTCCTCTGTGTATTCAGGCTATATGATTGATCGATCACGTGATAATTTTATTTACAGATATAGATGAAAGGGAAAGGTAGCCCATTCATCTTATAGTGAGACAGTTTTATGATGAACTTAATCGCAATGGTCTTAGAAAACGTTTTCTAGATGGCAAGCCTTCATATTCCTCTTTTCTTTATTCACAAATCATTCCTCGCTTATGAGTGCTATGCCCCAACCCACTTCTTTACTTGAGAATTGAGATTCTTGATCATGAATAGCTCTATGTGTAACAAAAAATTCTCTCCACAGGTACCATGGTCAGTATCCACAAGCGTGCTGCATCTCAAAATTTGAAGTTAAATGAGAGGCTTATCAATTACATGACCAATCTCAAGATACAGTATGGAATAGTTCAGCGCGCAAGGAGATCTCCAGAGTGGATGCATATCGCTTACCAAAAAATTGCTTCAAAACATTTGTGCTCCAATCACGGTCTTTTGGCGTGGACACTTGGAACTCTTTTCGTGTAAGTGTGATGGCAGGCTGGACTGGTTTATCATGTGAAAGCTAACATAACGAATGCCTAGAAAATAACCTCGGTGAATCCACATGCATTGATGGTATAAGCACACTATACTTGTAGCTGTTTTTGACGGATTTACTGGACGATATTGTCGTAAATCTCGTCAATGGCTGCGAACCAATCTATGCACCAAATGGAGCTGCTTGTGTATCCTAAGGGTTTCCTGCCAGCTTTACTTGTAACTGCCTGAATTGGATTTACAGGGACAGATTTGCTACACCAAGAATTAGAAAACTGCACTACAAACCCTTGTCGCAACAACGGTAGCTGTATTGAAACAGCCAGTTCCATCTTTGCAGATGCAGGCTGGAACTTTCTGGGTTAGCGGAACTGTGAACGAATTGATCTTTGCTACAAGGATACTTGTCGAAAATAACGCTAGTTGTGTTCTAACGGAAACTGACACGAACGATATTCATGCCCAATGCGGTGGTAACTACAGTGGTGAATTTTGCGAAATTTGTCGTAAAGGCTACGGTGGCTTAACTGTACGTCAAAACTAAGCCTGCCAATCAATCCTTTGTCTTTGGAAATTCAAACATGTCAGGCAGATTCTCACGCTTAGAAGGATATATTGCATTATGTTGAAGCAGGCCGGAACAGGTTTCGTTGTCAATCCGATATTAGGACGAATGTTTATCTTTCCCCTGCTGAATAATGGTACTTGCATACAAAACTCTTTACATAAGAATGGTGAAACATGCTGGATATGTCTGCAATGTTCGGGCAAACTACGTTGGGCGCCATTTGCGAGAGGAAGTCAATTCGTGCATTGAACCCCATCCCTTGCAAGAATAATGGCACATGCCAGCAAAGAATACTTCGAGTGGATTCAGTATGCCCCTTGGAGGTGGTTATGAAGGAGGAAAAACCTGCCGAGAAAGTAAGCGACCTTGCAAAAAAGCTCACCCATGTTTGAATAATGTACGTGCAAGAGTAATAAGGAAAGTAGTGGTTACTGCGGAACCAGAGTTGCTATGTTGCTATGGTTTGAAGGAGCCAATTGTCAAGTCAATCAACCCCTTGTTTTACCAGCTCCTTGTCTGAATAATGGAACTATGTGTTTTCATTTTTCAATGTCATTATTATTTGTAACTGCAAGTCCAATTATACTTGTAGCAGATGTCAAACAAAATAAATCCATGTCACTCAGCTCCTTGTGTCAATAATGGAAACGTGTATTGCATACTTCAATAAATTCCCAGTTTACTTGCCATTGCCCTCTGGGATATTCGGGCAGGCTGCTGGGTTTCAAAACACTGATTGACCCTGCTACTCATCGTTGATGTCAGAAAAACGGCACGTTGTTAGGATCGGTGTGGCAATAATTATACATGTCATTGTCTACCTGGTTTCAGTGGTATGCATTGTGAAAAACTCCCAAACGATCCATTGTCATGCATCTCGCCTTGCCTTAATAACGGGAATGTATAGCAATTCTGCAACCAAGCTAACTTCTCATGCTTTGATGTAAGCAAGGACTATTTGGAGCTCGATGCGAAAAACATCCTCAAAAATGTACTAAACTGTGTGCCAAATAATGGTCATGTATTACAGAAAGCCACTGGGGAGTACTGTTTATGTAGTAAGGTCAGGGGCCTACCTGCAACCATACAGATAATTCTGCCATGTGTTAAGTTGTCAAAATGGAACTCATGGTCAACGGTAATTGTCCTGTATTTTACCCAGGATTCACCGGAAAGCCAATGCGAAAAAAAATGACTTTTTGTCGTTCTATGCCATGCAGAAAACAATTGGAATTGCTCGACGAAGCTCGTGGATATAGGTGTGCGTTGTGAATCGCTCTACCCACAGGACCAACCACTGGAGACGTTTCTAATCATTGTACAAACTCACAACTTGTCTCAACAACGGCACTCTGTGTTAATACAGAGAAGACAGGAGCAGTATGCCATTGCATTAGTGGTTTTGCTGGCAGTTCTTGTCAGCATGATCGTAGAGGCTGTGCCTCACTTCCATGTCAAAATGGTGGCGTATGCAACGAAACAAGCAATTCAACCATTTTATGTCGCTGTCGCACAGCTTACTCTGGGAAATTCTGTGAGACTAGAATTCGTCACTGCTCATCAAATCCGTGTAGAAATAACGGAAGCTGCATAGAAGATAATGGAGGATTCAAATGTTATTGTGGCCTGAATTACACAGGGGCCACCTGTAATGTAAATCTGAGGATGTGTGATTCGTCTCCCTGTCTTAATAATGGGAGTTGCTTGTTTGTCAATGGAGTTTGTGACAATCAGTGTATCAGACGTAACTGCGTTAATCAGAGCAATTGCTTTCAGAATGGTAGCAATATTTTATGCAACTGCCACGGAACTGGTTACTATGGTAAGCGATGTGATTTGGATGTAAATGAATGCCTTTTATCGCCGTGTCAGCATGGAGGTAAATGTCATAATTCTCCAGGTGCCTTTTTGTGTGATTGCAGTAAGACAGGATACAAAGGAAATCGCTGCCAGAGTGATATTAATGAATGCACTAATGGCCCTTGTAGCAATGGTGGTGTTTGTGTGAATTCTGCTGGGTCTTACTACTGCAATTGCTCTGGTACCGGTTACCATGGAAATAGCTGTACAGTTGATGTCGATGAATGCAAGCAAAGGCCTTGTTTTCATAATTCAAGTTGTCTAAACACAAAAGGATCCTTCGTTTGTAAGTGCAATAATACCGGTTTTACGGGAAGGTTGTGTGAACAAAATATAAACGAATGTACTGGTGTTCCTTGCAAAAATAATGGAACTTGCAAAGATTCTTTTGGATCATTTTCCTGTGACTGTAATGATACTGGGCATTCTGGTAGACTTTGTGAAAATAACGTGAATGAATGCATTTCAAGTCCATGCAAAAATAATGGAAAATGTATTGACACAGTTGGGTCTTTTCTCTGCAATTGTAATGGTACAGGCTTTTCGGGAAATCTCTGTGACAAGAGAATCTTGTATTGTCGTGAGAAACCTTGTAAAAACAATGGCACTTGCGTTAACATGAAAGACGCATTTTTCTGTAATTGCAACAATACTGGCTACATTGGACAGACATGTGAACTGGACTTTGATGAGTGCATAAGTCGACCTTGTTTGAATAACGGAACATGCCGCAATAGTCCAGGATCCTTCACTTGTGATTGTTTGGGTACTGGCTACATTGGTCAGTTCTGTGAGAACGACGTCAACGAGTGTCTGGGAAACATTTGTAAAAACAACGCCACATGTACGAATACTGAAGGTGGCTACGTGTGTAACTGCAGAAAAGGCTTTAATGGGAAACAATGCAGTGATGATGTAGATGAATGCTTGCTTGTGCCTTGTCTTCACGGTGGAAAGTGTCGTAATACTGTTGGCTCTTACTCCTGCGATTGCAGTGGAACAGGCTACAGAGGTGTTAATTGCGGAATAGACATCGATGAATGCCAAGCGAGGATTTGTAGAAATAACGGCAGATGTAAGAACCTTCAAGGTTCTTTTCAATGCGACTGCTCAAACACAGGTTATAATGGAACGTCATGTGAGAATGATATTAATGAGTGCAGTTTATTACCTGCCGTGTGCCAGCATAGTTCAACTTGTATCAATAGTATTGGTAACTTTTCTTGTATTTGTGGTAGCACGGGCTATCATGGCAGATATTGCCAGGCAGATATCGATGAATGTGTGAATAACAGGACTTTATGTCGACCGGGTATATGCACAAATACCCCTGGTTCATTTGTTTGTAATTGTAGCAACACTGGATTTTATGGTCGTTATTGTGAGAATGCCATTCGAAATTGTGAAAACAAACCTTGTAAAAACAATGCAACATGTATCACAACATTGAATGGGTTCAAATGCAAATGTCCAGGAGGGTTCATGGGAAGTCAGTGTCAAACCGAGATAGATGAGTGCGTACTAGAGAGGCCATGTAAACATGGTGGCTTATGCAGCAACACTTACGGATCGTATGTTTGTGACTGTAAAAGTACAGGATATAGTGGAAGAAACTGCACGGTTGATATCAATGAATGTCTTAATTTAAAATGCCAGAATAATGCTTCATGTCTGAACACCTTAGGCAGTTACAAATGCACTTGCATGCGTGGATACACTGGCATGCAATGTGAAACCAAAATGAGCAGCTGTTCAAGTGAACCATGCTTCAACAAGGGCAACTGTCTTGAGCAACGTGCAGGTGGATTCATATGCGATTGCAAAGGGACTGGCTACATGGGCCCTGACTGCAGTTCTGACATTGACGAGTGTCTCAACGCATCACATTTGTGCAGCAATAATGCAGTTTGCGTGAATTATGCTGGTGGGTACAATTGTACCTGCCGTAACGGATACAGAGGTAGATTTTGCAATGAGACGACTGGCCCTTCTGTTGCCGGAAAATCAGAAAATTACGTCATTGAGATCTCGGTGTCTATTGCAGCTGTCGTCTTTTTTGCTGTCATTATTATTATAGCTGCTGTCTTCTTGAGAAATAATAGTGGCAAGGTAAAAGGGACTTATAATCCCAATGTCCTTGAAATGCAGTTTGCTGCACCCTATGATTACTTGGAACAAGATCCAGAGGAAAAGCTTATTTGAGCTCTGCTTCATTCGACAAAAATGGGAATTCTGGCGTTCCTAGATAGGAGAATTCATTTCCAGGGGCTCCGTCTTTTAAGAAGAGCACATTTCGACATTTTGGTCAATCGATTTCTCACTGGCTGTCTTAAATATCAAATTGATGACGCAGGCCTTAAATACGCTGGATATCTTGTTATCTTCAAGCCTCCTCCATAATAGGGCCTATAGAAACACGTATTTCATTTGCAGACAGATATGGAAACATCTTATTACAATTCATGTGTACTCTCGAGTACGGAATAAGTGGGCCAAGACGCCTTTTGCATTTTGAGGATAAGTCCACCAGAATATTGTTGTTCCAGCCACGGTAAAGTTCGAAACCATTCTCTGAAGGATCTTCGAAACCGTTCCTTTTTATTCTTAATGTGTACTTAAGTTCTAATTACGACTGTTTTTTACTTAACGACATTCATGCAAAACTACTGGTCATAAGGGGGAACACCACAAGTTTTTAAAATCCCAGCCAGCCCTATTATTGCTTTCCAACCGAACCCTTTCCTAAAGGTAACCGAACCCGTTCATTTTACACCAAGAAATCTCAGAGCGGTTTCCTATTCGGAAATTTGCCTGTGAAGAAGTGCTGGCACAGAAATGTTAGCGAGATGTACATGATCAAAAAATAATAATAAAGGCATATTTATCGCGCCATATTTCCCCAGGGCTTATAGGCGCTTAACAATATAAAATTTACATAAAAATGATTAACATAAAAATTTAGACTAAAGAGTATAATTTACATTGGTTGATAAAATATTCATGATCCTATGCGCTTAACAAATAACAATTATTGACATTAATATAAATTAACCTACAGAATATAATTTATATTTGAAGTTGCTTAACTATATTTGTGTGGCAGGCATGAATGAGGTCGAGCCTCTCCGATCTTGGTTTTTTTTATACAATGTTATAGAATAAATGTGATTGTATGGTGGTGAAACAATACTTTGCTTCATAAAGCGAAACTATCAACGCAATTTGAAAAATAATCCTGAGGTCTCGATGGTTTTAGATTATTTGCAACAGATGATGCAACAATTTTTCTCAATAAAGATCTCTTTATATCAGAACCGAACTACTAAAACATCATCAAATTAGCTTACTGCCAACATGAACTTAAATTAGCTTAAGAATACAGTCACCGATTGCCACTTTTCTGATTGAGGGTGACATGCAATTTTTCAATTCGATATTGAAATTTTGTTGATATAAAGGAAAACTTCTACCAGAGTTATTTCGATGACTGAAACCTTCCTTCGGTTATGGTGGCAGTCTTTGCATAAGTATTAATATATTTTGTATTATAAAGTTTTTCCCTTTTTAGATTGCATTTTGCATTGAAATGAGACTCTGCTCTACAATTCGACCGCCGTAATTTCATTTTTTATCACAAACCGACCGTTTTCATGCAAGTCCTTTCTACAGAAAGGGAATGTGATACGACGTTTATCTTCGTATTCATTTTGTAACATAGTTAAGTTATGATAAGGAACTTGTAAATTTGTGTAAATTTGTGATATTATGATTTAAATGGAAGATAAAATTTCTAATCCAAAATTTTTGGATTGAAAGAATATCGAGATACTGTAAATGCCCGATTAAGTGCCTAGTACTGGAACAAGCTACCAATTTGAATAAGCGCCCGTCCTAACTGCTTGAAATTAAAAGAGAACCCAGAGCGCTTAGTTGGCTATTTACGGTAACTATTTTTGTACAGTGATGATTTAAATTTTTATAAGATGCTTATATTTATTTAGATGTAAAATAATTACCATCAACTTAGAAATATTGAATTCCTTGAGAATTTGCTATTTTTTAATTTTTATGAAAAGAGACAACAAAAAAGTTGCAGTTTCAATTTTTCAGTTTCTCTGCCTTTCAAAAGCATCACGTCTACGTATATTTGTTATTGAATGGCATATTGCCTATTTCATTGTGTTGAATTTTACCATTGTCGTTTACTTATTTGATGATGCACCTCTTGGATGGTTATGCATACTTTGGACTAGCCTGTGTCCAAGACCCCTAACCAGGGGCGTCGTGGCTGGGGGGCAGGGGGACGTGGCCCCCTTTGCTCTCAAAATTTAATGGATTTTCGGAAAAATCATTGTTTTGTCGGAAAATTCTCAAACTTGGGCTGTGGATAATTCTCAAACTCTTAGCAATATATATTACCTGGACTAAAGTACTTACCGTGAATTCGAGGGGCAATTCACTTTTGTAAAGAAAATACTAGATTTCCACAAAACAAAACGACTTCTCAGGATTTACCGATTCCTACCATAGAGTGATTTGCTGTTCAGATTTGGTCAGTTAAAATCCGAAATTTCAAAGGCCAAATTTGGTTATGGAAATTGGTCAAAATTGGCATAAATTAAATTTTTTTTTGACATTGAAGACCGGGACAATACCAATTTTGTGCGTATCACCAGATTTTTGGAAATTGGGTCCCAGATTTGAAAATTTATGCAGTTATGTTGCGTTAAGGTAAAGCAAGGAAGAAGTCAATCAAAACCATCGCTTTCCCCCAGTGCATGTTGAATTTGAGAATAAGATTTTATTATTAAAATTTGCTTCACATAATGCGATTTCCGACAAATTTTTTAGTATAAGATCATAAAAAATGTTCCCCTTTGGCGGCAACCATGGTGTAACTTTATTCTACCCTTGTCCTAATCTACGGATGTCAGGAGCGTTCACTGTAAGTATGAAGAAACAAAGTCAAGATAAAAAGTGTATTTTAAATTTCTTTCCAGCTAAGGCAAAAGTTTTGAATAAATCAAATATTTGAATAAATTTCAAATAAATCAAAGAAGTTTTTTCGGAAAATTGTTCTTTCTGGCCACCTCTAGAACGCCCCTGCCCCTAACTTGAAAGCAAAATAACATTCCGTTATCCCTGGTTTTTGCTTAGAATTTGGCGGGACTTTTTGACCTCGATCTCGATTTTAATTCGCGGTATTATCAAACATGGCTACTTCACGAAAGTCACTTGTCTTTGTCACTGGAAATGAAAACAAATTAAAAGAGGTAATTAGAATGGCAAAATTATATATATTTACTTTAAATAAGGTAATTTATAGAAGATGAGCGAAAGACTTATGATTTTTATGTTCGAACCTGCCAAGTTATGGCCTCTGACTGCTCTGACTTCCATCCATACCATACACACAAGACACAATGTTAAATTGCATAAACTTCGTCCAAACCAATGACTTTTACAGAATTTGTAGATCCACTATCTTGATAATCATGTTTCTTGTAGATATGGCAGATTTGCCACTGAAAATGATGCAGTGTATCGATTAAGAATCATAACTAACACACATTGTATCTGTAGATCATTATCTCTTCACTGGTCGCCTATTATTATTTATGTTGATTGAAATCTTTAGTATTGTTCTTTTGCATGATCTTTTAGTTTCTACGTCTTCACTTGTAATACTGTAAGACAGCCTGGGCAAATTCAGGAAAGTTTTTTTGATGCACTTTGATTATCAGCCAGTCTGCAGAGTATGGCATGTGCACACCGGAGATTTTTTGTGCAAAGACCTTTGCACACCGGGTATTTTGGGGTGTGGCAACTAAGATGGGCGTGGCTGGGTGTGGTCTCATAGAAAATTCTGTGGCTTCTATCCACACTGGAAACTTTGCTTCTTGCAAGGACAAGTTTACTTTGAAAATTTGAGACTGCGCACCTGAAATCATCACTCTGAGTTATTTTTATTGTTAATAATGTTAAATGCTATTGTCTAAAGCTCTAGGGGATTTTGCGCGGCCAATATGCAAAAGCGCGCAGATGTGTGCGCAGGCAATATATTGTGGGTGCACAACAAATTTTGCAATCTGGGCTTCTATTGGAATTACCCAGACAAAAAGAAGAAAGGGCGGGCAAAAGAAGAAGGCATGCAAGGCTCCTTTGCATTTTTACGGTGAAATGCAAATTTACAAACTTTAACCACAACAGGGGAAAATAGCTGGTGCACACCAGCACACCAGAAATTTTTTGTGGTGCACACCGGCACACCAGGCTTTTTGCTTGTGCACACCAGAGATCTCGTCGAAAAGTGCCATACTCTGCAGACTGGATTATAAGCACTTTACTAATTCATAGATTATTGTGTGAAAATGACACGACATTATTTCTTAAGTGTATGCTATATTGTAATATAATTCTTGATGTATTGAGGGACATGACAGCTAGATATATAAACACCTGCAGAAAGAATGATTTCACATTTTTCTGGTGATCATGTTAACTATGAATCTTGGAGTGGCAACTTAGAATGAAACATCCTCTTCTGTACAATAAAGTGTGTATTGTTATGAAAGGCTACTTTTGCTTTGCTTTGTATAGGTTTTACTCCATTGACATTTTGATATATTCCAAAAATACTTCCACTTTTTTCTGCTTCACCTTCATATAAAATAGAATGATTACCATTTTAATTTATTGGCTAAAACAACAAGTACAGTATCAAGCTTACGTGCACAAAATATCAACCATATTGGTAACGTTTCCCCCAGTATAAGGCACCCCAGTATACGGTCACGCCCCAGCATGAGCAGCATGCAGTGAGCAGCAATTCTAGCGCCAATATGCCAATTGGCTATTTTTCTACTAGAAAAGGTAAAAGGATAGCTAAAAATTGTGAAATTCGAAAAATCTGAAAAACTGAAGCCCCTCCACATCACTCTTTTTGCCTGTCCAAAATAAGAGAAACATGCAATGCTCCAGTGCAGCTTCAGTGTAGCTTGAGAAAAACTTCTGAGAAAAGTGAGAATTTTCCGGACTGGAGCTTGCGGTTGGCCTGAGCGCATTTTGGAATATTTGATAATCCACAACATTTTTCTGCCTATAAGCTGCTTTTTGCGAATGTTCTATGCATGATACATAATTTCAAATCTAATTATTTTCCTTTCTTTACTTTGTGACTGTTAAAAGAAGAAAAAGTTTTGCAAAAGTTGGGTCAATATCTATTTGTCATGATCCACATTCCGTAATTCAAGTCAAAAGGCTTGCCAGTATAGTCAGAATTTACGTACCAGGCATGCGGTAGATCTGAGTGCAAGTGTATTAACAATTTTGCAATGTGGAGAGCTCCTCTTTGCGGGAATCCCCAGCTGCATTATAGCATAAAAATTTCTTACATTAGGTGGACATTAGGTGATGCCTTAGGAATATGAGGAATATGAGGAATATGAATAAGAATAAGATATTTTGCAAATCGGTTAGCACTAGGAGTTATTTTGAAAATTTTTGCAAAACAATTGAGCTTTTTTCAAAAACTTTTTGCATGGATGATAATTTTTCCCTTGGGCCCCCTTCACTTTCCAACCTCTGTCAGAGCCTCTTATGCAGAAAATAGACACATTGATTGATTAGAATAAGAGTACAAACGATTTGTTACTTTCAAAATCAAAATTTATTATCACGATTATCATCAGTTACTGCTTGTATTTTTAGGAAGCTGAAATTACGATTACATTCATTCATTTTTATGTTACCGCATGCCTAAGTACTGTGCTCACGCTACACCACTGTAATTTGCGCAATTTTATTATTGCTTTATTTGTTAGTATTTTTTAAAAAAGTTTTATTTGGGTAAATGTAACTGGAAGGCCAATACATGGATTGGATTATTTTCTCAATGCAGACAACAAGTAACCACACAACAAGCAATTTATTCCCTGTTGACTGTATATACCAAAATGTAAAGAAAAATGAACAACAAGGAACAAAAATGACATTTTAGATATATTATGCAAATTTGAGAACTAATGAGGATTCAGAAAATTTACTTCAAATGATTTCAAGTATGGATGTCTGAGGCAATGATGTCAAAAATCATGATAATTTGCATTTTTTCCATGTTATAATTTCAATATTTTTCTGGATATATTAAAGATAAAGGATAACTGTCAACGTAAGATATCCAGTATTAATTGTTTTCCAGGTTGTGGCCATATTAGGAGATACATTTCCATGGAAAATTATTGCAAAGAAAATCGACTGTAAGCATTTTGTTTCTGCATAACCTATTCTTTTTATTAATTCATTTCATATGAAAGCATCCCAAAATGCTTCCTACCATGTTGTTGATGCTATTGTAAAGCTTCAATTTGGTACCATTTACCAATAGAAAGAGGACAACTTTCTGCAAGTAGCCATTTCTTAAGCAGATGTCAAGAAATTAATGTTGCACGAATATAGCAATTTTAAAAAATTTTACCTTTAAGGAAACCTGTTTTACGACTTTTTATACATTTAAACATGTGTTTGCTGATTTTGGTTTTTTTTTGTAATCATGTCTATTTTGTAATTCATATACTTAATTGTGTTGACTGACACATATAGAACTTGAATTTTAGCAAGGAAGTTTTATTTTGATGAGCCGGAGTAGGATAAGGAGAAAGTAGAATGGTGCAGTATAGGCAAGTGATAAACATTGAATTATGTCCAGGATTTTTCACCATCATTGTACTGCTAGAATCGAGATATACTCATCATTGTTAATTAGATGCTTTTGTTTTACAGTAATGATATAATTTTTAGCCAGCATTTGTTTTAGTGCTTTCAAGAGTTTTTAAAGCCCTATTTTTTAATTTATAGTACCTGAATTTCAAGGAGAACCAGATGATATCAGCATAGAGAAATGTAAGATTGCAGCAAAAGAGGTATATATATATATATATATAGTTTATAATTTTAAACCTTGAAATTACATATCATAATTTTTCATAATTCCTTGTCTTCAGAATAGCTGTTTCTTCAACTACCTGGTATTGTGCTTATTTTAAGAAGTATCTGAAATTATATTTTTGTTGCAGATAAAAGGACCAGTGATAGTAGAGGATACTTGCCTTTGTTTCAATGCATTAGGAGGTCTGCCTGGTCCATACATGTATGTTTCCTTGAAAGTTGTAAAAAATGTTCTGAATCCTAATTTTGAGTTACTTTTGTTTTATAAAAGTAATTAATCACTAATTTCGAGGCATTGCAAACATTTTTTTATTCAAGATTAAATCAGCTACAAACATCTTTAAATGAAACATAATTATATAAAACATAAACATAAATGAAACATTATACTGCTTTCTATATCAAAATCTATATCTTGCAAAGTTCACTATGTATGATAACTTTGAGATGAGATTAAACACATAAAGAAACCTGACTTAGAAAAAGAGATTATATTTGACTAATTTAAGTTGTGTACAGAGCAGGATGGTTCTAAGTGAAAACTCTGAGTTTCACACTTGATGTAACCACCAGGCCGCTGTTCTCTTGATTGAATTAAGTCTGAGGATTGCATTAAACGCTATAGTAAGAGCTGAAATTTTGAACCATAGACCCAAAGTTTGTATGCAAAAGCATTTGTAACATAAAAGAAGGGCCCACATCCAGCTTTTTTAATAACAACGATACAATAGCACGAAGGATCTTTTTGAGACAATGGCCACAGCAAATGAATAGAAGTACCTTTGAAAATCACAATTTGAATTTTTTAGTTCTATATTTCAGATAATCGTTTTGTTTTTCAGAAAATGGTTTCTAGAGAAATTAAAACCAGAAGGTAACAGCTAAGTTTACTGTTTCATACTTTCCTGCATTTACTGCTGAAAACATGGAATTCGTTATAGCTTCAATGCTTAGACAATTTTGACATTGATTATTTTTAGAATTCTTGTTTTTGTAGGCCTTTATAGAATGTTATCTGGGTGGGAAGACAAATCAGCTTATGCTCTTGTACTTTTGCATACTCTAATGGGGATTCAAATGATGACGTTCTTTTATTCAGGGGAAAACAATGGTAGGTCATATGTTTCTGAGTTTTTTCTAGAAATTGATGCAGTTTGATGAATTTTGCAGAGTGAAAATTTTTCGTAGATCATTGATTTGAACTGTGCTTTAGTTTGAAGACTTGAAGACTGTGCCCAGTTGTTAAAGTTTTGTTTTGAAAAATTAGCCTTTTTGTTAAAAAATACGGATACCTCACCCTCTACCCAAAAGTGTTGGTGTAGAATTAAATATCATATGTGTATGAAGAATGAAAGCAGGATAAGCTGTCCGTCGGATTCTGTTAATTTTGCAACGAGTAGTAATACGAAAATGATGAGGAAAATGCATACGATCGACAGATCAAATGTATAAGGTACATTTTGGAAATAAATTTAATTTGATGAATGCTAATATTTCACTCCGGCATACCGGGATTCATTCAAATAAATAGGACGAATCAATTTTGTAGATAACATAACTATTATAAATAAAACGATTAGACCAAACAGAACCTTTAATCTTTGCAAAAAAACATCTTTTTTCGGTGGGGGAGAGGGTGTTTCAGTATAAGATATTCAAAAAATTAGTGTAGTTAACCAAGACTTTGCAGGCGTTTTCGAAATCTAACAAAGCTTAGGTCAATAGTTGAATTCAAATGAATTCTGCTCTTGTTTTCAAACAAGATACAGTAATTTGCTAAAGGTCACCATTTATGAAATTTTCGAAAAACTACTTGATCGTACATTTTATTTCAAATATAGCAATACTATTTTTATTGTTTTAAAACATAAATTTTTCTGATTTCGCAATTGAAAATTAACTATATATTGCGTTGCTGTAAGGTTTTTCACAGAAGTGCGGAATTTATCGGAATTTCTTTGATTTTTTGACCTGATTACCATGACCTGATAATCATTTTTACTAAAAACGAACTTTAGTAGTCAAAACACTGGCAGCAAATTTGAGCTAGGGTAGAAATAAACCTTTTAAACTCATGTGAAGTCCTACAAACAACAGAATGTTTGGTTTCGTATTTCCAATATTTTTAAACCAATATCTTAACATGCTCATCCTATTACCGTAAAGGGATAAGTGATATTCTATCACTGTTGGCAATTGAATTAAAGTTCAGTACAGCTACATTGGCTACACTACAGTAAGGCCTGGATCCAACATTGCATTTTACATGTGTCGAATACAATGCAATTTTATTGGACTTGAACTTACACTGCGTGATGTGCCTAACATGCATGATTTTGCTTAAGGGATGTGAAAATAAAGAGTTTCGTTTCGGAAATGGAACGAAGTGCTTTTTGACACGGGTGAAGAATTTCTTGTTTTAACTAGATCCCGTGTGTTACACGACAAATTATATTTCAGTAACTTCCTGCCAGGGCTTCAAATGGTAATGCGCATGTGCAGTGCCCTGAAGTTCCAAGTTACCTAAATATAACTTAAAGAATTTCTTCTATTGCTTTCAACATTCTTAAATGTATGAAAAGTTGATAATTTTAAGAGAGAAGAAACAACAAGGCCTTTCTAGCATATTTTACAAATTCTATATTTGTGTTTTCAAGAGGATGCGTCTGCATCCACGCTCCCCCTGGCTATGGCACAGATTTGTCGTAGTTAGAATGGTGCAAGTATCTCTATCTCATTTGCTCGATCTTTTCGCAGTTATTAAAAACGTTTTATCGTATTTAGGGAACGATCGTCGAACCTCGTGGTCCAAGGAATTTTGGATGGGACCCTTGTTTTCAACCAGATGGTTTTGACAAAACGTAAGCGTTTATCATCTCTTTAATTCGTACAGCAAAAATGCTCATTTTTATTTCGCTTTATGCTGCACTGATTCTTATAAGTTCATTTTTTTGAGATGTACATTTTTGTTAACACAAAACCCCTCCTCCATAAATTTGAGAAGCTACTTCCACAAAAGGTGAGAGAGATGTTTTTTGCATTTGAACCATAAATGTGTCCTGTATGTTCTTTGAGTCAGTGTCATCTTTGAGTCATCTTCTTTGCTTCTTGATTCTTGGCCAACGGGTCAACCTCGATTACGCATTGACTCGATTTCGTTTTGTACGGTCGCAAACGCTTCTTAGGCCAGTTGAAGGCCTCTGTCAAATTTCTTTTGTCCGACTTGGAGATGTCCCATTGTCTTTTTAGGTATTTTCTGGGCTCAAAATCTCTACAAGTGTCGCTTTTTGGGTAAAATTTTAAAAGGAAAGCTTTCCCCAAAGAGAGGTGTATGTTTTAGTACGCTTTTTGTTTAGCAAAAGATGGTTTTATGTTTCTTCTTTGAGTTTCATGCTTACTGTGAACATCAAATAACTGTTACTTATAATTCAACCTGAGTAAAGTCAAAAACTTTAATGGGACAAAGCTTTAATGCTTTTATTTGAGTGGTGATTCTTTTTACTTTTCTTTTCTTAAAACTCGTTAGAATTTCTATTTGTTTTATTTGTGACAAATTAAAGATGTTGTAAGAGCATCATGAATTCCTGTAAATCCTTTGCCTTAATTATCAACCTGATTTATTAATTTATTCATTCCTTTATTCCTGTCTTGATTTTTCAAAGGTATGCAGAACTGGATAAAGAAATTAAAAATTCAATTTCACACAGAGGAAAATCACTAGCAGCTCTAAAGGAATATTTCTTAGAACTGAACAATAAGCCAGTTGAGAAAAAGGCGAAACACGAAGAAAACAATAGTATTTGAATCACAATCTTGTATGTTTTGTGCGGCAAGTCATATAATTGAAGAAGAATTTTTAAACTTTTAGATGATCATTTGGGATCTTTTTCATATGTTTGTCATAGAAATAGGAGAAAAAAATGACATGAAAATTTTCTTGATAATTTATGTTTAAGATTCTTTTGCTTAGCCAGGTGGCTGCTGATATTCACTTTTTATCAGCACAACTATGAAACAACTACCATCTTCCTTAGATATACAGTCTTTATCAGAAGTGCATTTGCTATTCTTTCAACCACTGTGAAATAAACCAAATGCAAGTGAACTCATAATTTTTTTTAGAAATTTTGAAAGCTTAGCTTGATACTGATAGGCCTGACATAATTAGTGAATGATCTTTAGCTTTTCTAGAATTGGATTACTTTGTTTCTTATCAGTTTCCAAACAGATGTGTTGGTTTCCATGTAGAACCTTAAAGAAATCTCCTCCTAACCAATTTGCTACGCAATTTTTTCCATATAATTGTAAGCAATTCTAAGGCCCAATGCGGCGTCGTTTAATGGTCTACCACAACGACGGTTTTAGGGTACCATAACTGAATAGTGCGTCGAGATTGCTCTATTTCCCTGTATATCGAAGTTTAACCCAACGACCAATTGAGCATAGCAATGATCTTTTTTAGCGTCAGCTTTAATGCAGTCTTAACAACAAAGGACGTCACAAGTTCATATCAGCCCCAGTTCTTTTAAATCTCAGAATTGCCTCTTTAACCTATAACATAGAGAGATGAAACTTGAAACAGTGACATAAAATTGTTTATGAAAACTAAAGATGTAATTCTTTTCAAGTAAGGTGGACTCTTTATGGTTTCTCACACAGAATGTCATCAAGTAAAGCCTTTTTTGTCTCATTGGATTGTTGTAGAGGCAACATGGTCTGGAGTGAGAGGCTTAGACAGGTTCTCTCCGAGCAACATTATCTCATTTTTTCTCCCTTTTTCATAGGAATACTCCAAAGATTAGTATGCATTTTTCCCCAGCATTTTTGTAACAGTCGGAGAACTTATGGCAATTGTATTTTCACGTCACTAGAACTATTTCAGCCTTATCTGAATTGACACTTCCTTTTCTTGATATTTTAACCAACAACTTCCAGAAGGCACACGCATCTTTGCTTAAGGAGTAGCTGCTCACCCCCCCCCCCACCTCCCCGCCTTCCATGAGACTTAGTCCATGACCAGGGGCGGACTGGCTAATTTTTTTGGCCCGGGCAAATTTTGATCAAACCGGCCCACAAAAATAGCAAATAAAAAACTCTTCGGAAAATGCAAGTAAATGTTAGTCTGTAAGGAAAACAAGTTTTTAAATTCAGTAATTTTGTGCATGGATGAATGCTGGTTAACAGAACATGTTCAATAAGTCATTTGCTAACTAAATAATAAATAAATAAAAATTTTAACTCATTGGTTTGACTTTCTTTCTTAATACAGTAACCTATTTGTTGATAATGTGATCGTTCTAGATGTCATCTAACAGGTGTTTTTCTAAGAACATTAACATGAAGGACTCTAGGTTTGGCTGCGAAAAATTACCACGTAATCTGTTCTTTATATATTTAAAGTGGAAAAGCTTCACACTCAACTTGTGACAAATAATTTTCTATTCCTCCGGAAAACCACAATGATTTTCAGCAGCCCAAAAATATCGATTTGTCAATTTCTGACCCCAAAAAGAAAACATGTGCACCCCTGGTGAAATTTTATCGTGTAGCACCATACCCCTGTTTTGCTTGATAAAAAAAGCTTTGTATCGTAGCTGAATCCTTTTTTAAGTCTCGCAGCTTTTCCTCACGAAATTTCTGTGCACCACCTTTGATTGAAGTCTTCTTGCTCTTCCCTTGTTCTACGTATGTCCTCTTCATTACTTCACATCACAGAGCAAATCGCTTAGTGAACTCTAATTTTTGGACTTTTAAATTTATTACATTTAGCAAAAGCTTGTGCTTAGGGAAAAACACGACCAGCTTCAAGCAAAAGCTAAGTAAAAAGACATCGGAGCAGGTTAAAATCTTAAGCCCCGGCAAAATGACTGGACATTATCACTGAACATGGACTGGACAAATGTCCAGCGTAAATGTTGCGTCGTTTTGCCACCTTGTCCAGTCTTGTTCAGCGATGTTGAATGTTGTTCAGTCGATTTTGAAGGCAGCCAAAAATGTTCAGTGGACAGGATTAAATTTCTTTTGTTCACTGATGTTATACAGAAATTGTTCAGTCGTTTGGCCACTCTACTGAACATTGTCCAGTTCGCGCACGCGCAATCGATTAATGGTTTGGACTTGGCGTCAATTTATTTCCCATATTCAAATCTTCAACAAACTTTCCCAGTCAACACTGCGAACGAAATGGAAACAACGTAAAAATTCAATTCGACCAATAGTAGAAAAAGGCATTTCATTAATAACGATAAGATCAGATCAGATTAGCTTTAGTAACGATAAGGAAAGCGATGCCAGAGAGCACGAGGACGGTGATTTTGATGAACCTAGCAGTCCAAGCCACTTTCCAATAATACACTTTAATTCATACGATAACACGGTTAGGGCTATGAAAAGTGTATTTTCAAAGGTAAAGAGATGCCTTGTTGCCTGTTTTTCAACCCGCATTCTTCAACAGAGAAAAAGTTCACTGGACAATGTTCAGTCGTTTTGCCATAACCAATATTTTCTTGATGTCCATACTCTGAACAAGTGAGCAATGTCCAATGTGTGACCAGTGCAAATGTCCAGTCGTTTTGCCGGCGCTTTATGTATCGCATTGAAACAGGGATGTTACAGTATAATATGTAGCCAAAAAGGAAATACCGTCAAGAGAAAATATAACAAAATGTCAATAACATGTTCCCTGAAGAAGTGTGTTTGGGCTTCGGTGCAAAAATGAATTCATAATTTTGATGGTTTTGGAGTACTCGCGTGTATATTTACTCTTTCCCACAAAGTCCCTGAAAATTCAAGGCAAACAGATTAACGCGTGGGTATACTTTTTTGCCTCGCATTCACTTTTTAAGCCAAAATATTTTTTTGCACTTTTATCAACCGGCCCTTTAACCGACCGGCCCTTCGGGCGATCGCCCGAATAGCCCGACCAGCCAGTCCGCCCCTGTCCATGACCATCTTGGTAATTTAAAGAAAATTATTCAATTTAAGCTGAACTGTGCGAGTGCTTTGATATTTCTGAGAACTGTGTGACACAGACCAGCCAGATTATCAATAGATCTTGGAACTTATGCAATCTAGCCCGGTGTCCCTCTCTGCGATAGGTTTTAATAGTAGAACTAGAGAGATAGAAAACAACATCCTTTTCCTCATTCATATCATCATCCTCCTTATTACAATACCGATTCATATCATGCACTAAATACCAAAACTTTTGATTAGATTTATTCTCGGTGAAGCAGGGCAACCAAAAATTTATGCCATCAAATTTTTGAACGAAATTATGAAGAGCCTGTAGAAGCATCAGTTCGACCCAACTAAAATGAGAACTAAAATTTATTGGATTGTCTAAGGTGAAAGAAAAGCAAATGAAGATGAGCTGGATATCTTATTTGCTGATGACGAAGAAGAACCAGAAACTGAAAATGAAGATGTGTTGGATGTCTAATAATACTAAAAAAGTTGGTAGCTTAAAATAATCTGTAAATATGTTCTCCATGTTATCAGTCATGCTTTGTGATATCAGATTTGACAACTGGAAATCCTATACATTTTCTGGCATCTTTGAAATATCAAGGAAATTTTTTTTGCTATTTTGAAAGTTCATCAGTGTAAAACGAGTTTTTTTGCGCTTGAAAATTCCGGTAAGTAAAAATTACGGTTTCAAAAAAGTTAGGTGGGGTTAATTTTTGGTTGCCCTGCTCCACCGAGAATAAACCCCACCGAAATTTTTGGTACTTAGTGTAAGACATGGATGGCAATTGAGATATTTTGAATTGTGTGAATTGCACATAGAAAAGGTTAGATTTTTAGAACGCCACCCAGAATAAAATAAGCCTGAGAGAAAGCAGCATGTAAACCATTCAGTTCCCAGCCCCGATACTTGTTGCTCTGCTCCCCTAAAGTTACCAATCATAGAGCGCTTGGCCCAGATGTAACGTCTTTCAAAGCATGCGTGACAGCACCAGTTTCGAAGGGTTGCAAGTGACGATACCCACGCACATTCCCGTGAACCAATAAACTGGTTGCTGTGACCTTTTTCAGACTTTTATTACACGAAGTAGATTATTTCTTGCATGTTATCATTCCTCCACCAGTCATATCAACATGTTTTTGTCAGGTGTCCGGGAGCTAACTGAAAAAAATCAATACTATCCTAGACTTGCGCGCTGAAACGGGATACTCTAATCAACAAAAAAGGTTTGTGTCCTGTATTTTGTTATTTTATGATTGCCCTTGATTTGTACTGATTTCGAATTGCTATGGTGCATTTATTATGACATTTGATTAGGTTCTAGTATCTTTCTTGGCGCATTACGCTTTAAATAGGCAATAGACACCCTGAAATTATGGAATAATAATACACTATTTTATCATCTAAACATCCTTCGTATAAGAACACCTAGTCACGATTTGCTTAAAAATGAAATTTTAAATCGTGTGAAAAATTGAATAAGCAATATGGTTTTTAAAATTACCCTCATCTTTGTTGACTGAAACAGACCAGGTTATATCCGCTGGGCAATCGTGCTTTCTTCCACCGCTTTATCTAATGGTCTTATCGAAATCGGTCACCTCTTGGACTAACCGTACCAACATAGGGAGGGGGTATTATGGCTCCTCAGTCCCCCATTACTACACCGCAGGTAAGGACGACATATGTTTCGAAATTTACATATAGGCTCATACAAGCAATTCCCTGCCAAACTTATCAGCTCGCTCTCCCAGTTGGAAAGTTTCGTTTCTGCCAATTTTTAGGTCAGAAATTTTTGTCCAATAATACTTTATCTACCTACCACAGAGCACAGATATCTCGCACAGAGCAAATTTTTAGGACATCTGGTTTGCATTCGGAAAAGAGTTTTACCCCCTAGATATCAGAAAACGGACCTTCTTTGCTTTCCTATCCAATTTTAAACCGGGGTGTCGAATACCAGGGAACTGGTGATCAGTGGCCAATAAAAACAGACAGGGCATTATCGTGAGGGCTTTTGGTATCAGAGGAATGGGATAGATGCCTGAAGTTTTCATATTTTCACGAATAATGTGCATGAATTTAGTGAATAAGGTGAAGAAAGAATGAATTATAAACAAGGTAAGCTTATTTAGACATCCCTACAGCGCTTCAAGATACTTTAGCCGCAACGTGTATGTATATGTTGACTAGGCCTACCAAATCCCTTTCGTCTTTATATCATACATGTACTTGTGCTCTGACAGTGCATTGCAATGAAGGCTTGGTTATCTTCAGGCATTTGATAAACCAAATTTAACATTAAACACATTTTTGGGTGAAAAATTCATTCTGAGATCACGTATATTGAATTGGTAAACTGCTTTTTGTCAAGAACAGTCTCACTGGATGGAAGGAAATATAAAGTACCTATTTTTCTAACACCTCCCTTCTATTTTGTTCATACTAAGTGAAGCGGAAAAACATTCGGCTCTTTTGTTGTTTTAAATGCCATCTCTGTTTTAAAGGGCAAAATACTTTATATCTAGATAAAGTAGTCGTACGAAATCTTTTGCTAGGGAATGCATATGAAGTGCATCAAAAGTCATCACTAGCTACCTGCTATTGATCATTAGGTTTCTTGATAATACGTTGAATTACCAATGCTAGAACTTTATTCATTATTTTATAAAGCTGGTCTGCAATTTAGGTATTTAGAAAACTGAGTGCTAATGTAATACAACATTGTTATAATTCCAAGCTAGATTGAATATCAAGATATAATTTAAATGCTCATTATTTTTTGTTATTTTGTTAATATCATCCTCTCTGTAAGACAAATAGAAACAAGGAAGCATGGAACAGATCAATTTTTAGTGATATGGCTGTATCTTATCAATATGTTATCAATATAGACATCAATTGGTCACATATATTGCGCAAAGAAGAAGTGTTTGTGCATGAAACAATTTAAATGCAGTGGAACAACTAACAAAATAAGTTTCTTGATCTCTTTTCAAGAAACGTATATTTGTTAATTTTCTTGAAAAAAGGAATCTCTATGAATTGTTTGATTTCTTTTCTCATCACTTGGTACAATAATAAGATTTATTGGATCTTAAAATGAAGTAGCATGAGACATGTTTTAGGTTTAATCAAAAAAGTTTCTCATTCTTGACTAAGATTCTGTTATAGCTAAGATCATTAGCCAGATAAACAAGTGTCTTTTTTGTTCATGAAATCAAAATTTAACCATATGGTGAAACCTCTGCTTGCTTATTTTTATTGCGATTCCCAAGATGCCAGTAAATGAAATTTGCATATGCCTTTTACTCCTCACACAAACAAATAACTGATTCCATGAACGAAAGTTAAGCCAAATCATTTGTCCCTTTCTCTTTTTTGTATATTAGGGCAGTTTTATATTAGGCTTTCATCATGGATAATGCTGACACTGGGAAATCATGGACAAATCTACTTTGGAATATTTTTTTTGATTCTGTCATGAACATTAAATAAAAAGATTTTTAAAAGCATGTTTAGGTACCCTTTATGTTTACTTTTTTCTTCTTTTTGAGCCTTATTGTGATGTGTGCTATTGAATAAATGTGTTTTCAATGCATGGCATTGATGTGAGTGGGCCTTAAATAACCTCAGTTTTCTACTCTTTGAAACTGAAATGTGGCCTTTCACAGTGATCAGGGAATGCTCAATGTTATTGTTTTGACATGTAAAATGATTGTTTTATGTATTTTGATTGGATAGCATAGGTATCCTCATCGCGTAGCATGATTTTGAGGTTCCTCAGCATTCCTGGATAAAGTATGTGCCCGTGAATATGCAAGGGCTATGCCAGACAGCAAATGGGACGGTTTTGATATTAATTTATATGATGGTGCTAACTAAAATAACCTTAAAGATTTTTATAATGCCAGTTTAAGCTGACTTGATTGCACCTTAAGTCAAAGTTTTAACAAAGCTTGTTTTGAGGGAAATGTAATACTATTAGTGATTGAGGCCTATCCTTAAAGATTTTTGTAGGTGTGCAGCTGATTCAGCACCTTGCAGAAAAATTTTTCATTTAGAAGCGTGATTCATAACTTCTAGTTTAAAACATGCAGAAAAGCAGTAATATCAGTGCTATTGATGTTGCAGCTTTTTTGTGTGATTTTGAAATTTTTTTTGATACCAAAGTATTATATTACTTTTGTCTAACTTGTAATAGACACCCTCAAAAGAAACTTATCTGTTATTCTGATCCCATCACAATTCCTAGTAGACTATTAACACGTTTTTAATCTAAAAATTACTTTTAATAATGGTAACATTTGGGAGGGAGATTTAGTGGTTTTTTTATCTCACTCAACTAGCACAGGGAGTTTTTCATTGTTTAACATCTATTTCCTGTCATGCAATTCCCTAAGTGGTGAATGCTTTAATTTGAGGCTGATTCCTGGGTCAACAATACAAAGTTTTTGATAAAAAGTAATCTCTAGAAAGTGCATTCGATATCGCTACTTTTTGAGAAGCAAGATGTGAGAAAATGCACACATTATCTTGCCTAGGCCTGTGCCAAGACGCAGGTGCACAATGACCTGCCTCAAACCGATAGACCTGGTAATTAGCTGCATACAGATGTTAACTGACTGTCACCTGATTTTGGTACCAAATTCATCAAAACCCCAATTTTTACTTAACAAATTCCAAACCATGATGTAATATTATTTGCAAATGAATGCTCAAAGCCAAGTTAAGCTTGGGAACTTGGTTTTGCTATGTTAGAATTTCTAGTGAGACATATGGAGTTGTACTTGACTAATTTAGCTATATTTATATGAAAAGAAATATGAATAGGTGTATTGAGTAGCAAAATATATTTTTTCTGAAGGAAAGTAAATTTTGTGGACATTGCTTGGGTAATGGTGAACTGTTCTATAAAAACCTTATAGTTTTAATGAATGGAAGTAGAAAGCAATAGCAAAATTTATGTATAATTATGCATAATTTTATGATTAGTTTTTTCTTTGTATAAATGAAGCCTTGATGTCATAGAAAAAACTTTCTATTTCTTTGATTAGCTAGTTACTTGAACCTTTTGCTAGTGTAAGTCAATGAGATTTGCATGCTTCATTATGCAATAATATTATCATGCAAAGGTAGAACATTTCCTCTGAAAGAATGAATTATGGATAGCTGATCAGTTTGAGCTTTTACTTTCTGCTATTTCCTAGCTTTTTGGTGAATAGAAGTCCCATGGAATCATCCAAACAAGAAGAACAACCATCAAATCCACACCAGAATGGAGAAAAGGACTTTATCATGTGTTCTCAGAATGGTAGTGACATTGCGAGTGTGAAAAGCTTAGATGAAAAGTCAGATAACTCACTTGATTTTGGTTTTCCTGGGCGAACAGATAAATCTGGCCATAGCAGTATAAGTAGCTTTTCAGAAGTGCATTCTTTAGATATGGAGCCTAAACTAGGCAAAACTGAGCACGAAGATGATGTGACGACTTTAATGGCAGATGCTCAACTTGATGTCGAACCAACTGATCTGAATTCAATCTCAGAAGATAAATGCAGAATAAGCCCTGTTGTTTCAGTTCAAGGTCAGAGTTGGTTTTCATCTATGCGAAAATACTCAGAATATGAAGATGTAGACAGTTCTGAAGTGCAGGTCTCCTTTGTGGATGATAGTGATGGCTCTGATGAAGCAACAAACAACGCAATAGAGATAAGCATGGTTGACAGTGGTCTTAAAGATGCTTGTGTTTTTTACCATAATGTGACATACCTAGGCTCATCCTCTGTTAATGCTCCTGTTAGCGAAATTGAACTCAAGCGTACCATATCAATTATGCGTGATCATGCTAACATCAGCCTTGATGTTATTCTTGCTGTTGGCTTATCGTCTGATGGATGCATTAGATTAATTGATCCTGTTTCAAGACAGGACATGGCAACATATGATGCCAAGCAAGTCATTTTCTGGGGAAAGGCAGATGATGAAAGCAAAGAAAAAGACTGTGTAGCATTTAATGTAGCGCATGGTGAAGATTCCTTCCACTGTCATGTTTTCAGATGTGATGAAGAAGATACAGTAAGTGACTGAAAAAATATTTTCTGTTTTGCGGTTTTTATCCATTGATGTTTTCAGCTAAAATCTTCTATTTATTTGGGATGCTTTAATGTCTACTAGATGAAGGAAATTGTGGAAGGTAATCGATAAAGATATTTGTAGGAGTTTAATGAGATTCAAGAAATAATGGCCTTTTTATTGATAAAAACAGAGATTGAGCTTGTTATAAAATTTTCTAGAAATACTTGAATATAATTCCAATTTTTATGAAACTTTTTTGTCTTGTTTATTTTCTGAAAATTTTTATGAATTATTTTGCTACCTGGCACAAAAAATGAGGATGATTAAACCTCTGTTTCTCATGGCAAGCTCTGATGAAGCTATAATATTAAAACTAGCTAGAGATCAAATCAATCCAGAAGGGAACTTTATTTTGGTTTATATGCATAGTTAAGATCAAGATTTATTTACACACTCCTTGTTTTATTTTAACAATGCCTATTTTTATCTTTTCTAGGCTGTGAAAATTGTTCAGAGTTTTTCCAATATCCTTAGAAAGAACAGAAAAGTATGTTTCCAAATAATTTTCATCCCTAAAAAAAATTTTGTGTTCTATCAGTCCTTTTCGTGAGCAAAATTACGCGTGTGTGGCAAATCGCACATGTAAACAAATTTGCGCGTGCGATCGCACTTGTAAGAAAATTTGAAGTACAAACCTGATAAAATTGGTAAAAGGAGCAAGAAGGGAAAAGCCACTCGAATACGTGCAAGAGCAAAACTCAATTAATCAATACATAACAGATTTTGTTGCCCTTAGCAGCCATCTTTTAAAAGTCGTCGTCACTCTCCAAAGTTACAAGAGCAAGTAAAAATTGTTTCCAACAGCTACTTGCTTTCAGGGCCTAATTACGTTTTGACAGGAAATCAGTTATTATACTTAACATGCTAATGGCGACTTAGCTTAAAGACGAGACGCTAAGTTGAATTGAGCACTCAGTCAAAAGCCAAACATCACTTCCGAAAATTGGAAAAATCATACTGTGGTCAAAAGTGCGAATCAAGTAACAAGGGAAAGGATAAACAATCATGAGACCATGGGAAATTGATGTTAAAGGGCCTCTCCAGCAAAAAAAAATGTTTTTAATGACTTAAAAGTTAGCATCTGGTGCGTGTATTATGACAAAGTCATTGTTTTTGCAAAATTCCAATTAGTTTAGAAGTTGTAAGGCTTTAAAGTTGCACCTTTCCGAGAAAAACAACGACAAAAGCCGAATCAGTTTGGTGACATTCTGACGTCACAATGTGCGGCTCTCGTTCGCCATGAATTTCGTATATCTTCCACCGAAGCGTGAAGGACTCATGGTCACGCGTTGATAACTGCATCCAGTTCCAGTTCCTGTTCCAGCTCTTCCCTCGCGTATAATTAATCGAAATTGTCACTTCAGTTGTTCTCCAGAAACGATGAACAACTAAAGGCTTCAGAATTGGTGTCTGAAATGCTCAAACTGAAAGCTGGTGGAACAGAACTGAAAGTACCATCACTTGCAATGTTCAATTTGCGAATCGCCGTCGTTCGATTCGGTTTGAGGCGAGACTATCCGAAATACACTGTGACGTCAAAATTGCGTCACAGTGTCACCAAACCAACAATTTTTGTCGGTTAATTCAATTCAATTATCGAAATGCAAGAGCTTATATCTCACAAACTGTAAAAAATATCGAAAAACAAATAACGAATTCGTAATCAGCAGGCTCAACTTCTTTATAAAAATTGCCAATAAAATGCAAGTGCAAAATTTGGCTGGAGAGGCCCTTTAACAGAAAACTGCAAAAACACCTGTTTGCGCGTGTGGTCAAAAGCACGCGCAATTTAACTTGCGCGTGTGCAGGCGTGTGCGGGTGCGATCGCACGCGCTAAACGAAAAGGACTGGTTCTATATAAAAAACAATTTAACAATATGTGGTTGACTCTTTACTTGTGATTTTTATATTTTTGCATTTTGCTCACTTAGATTAATTGAATTTCTATGAGCAAGCTGCCCCAACTTAAGAGTTTTGATTGCAAGCTGTATAGCTTTCTGAATGTTCTGGTTATCTTATAATGCTTAGATGCTTAACATTGTGTGGACCCTTGCAATATCCAATTTTTTCTTTTATTCATCGAAGTTCAATGTCATATTTAGAAGGAAACTATTTATTTTTCATTAATGTTTTCTGATGCCCATTCAGGAGAAACAAGCTGCTGATACAGGGCTTAAACAAACCAGACTGGATCCAAACAACCTGAGTTTCAAATATGATGTTACCATTGATATACTGGAGGAGGATAGTAAGGGAACTATGGCTCAAGTTGCAAGGGACAAAAATTGCTTCAAATTGCGTCAAGATGTAAACAAAAGGGTTGTAATTTGCTTGGAGCAGCTAACAAACAAGACATTAGCAATTGAAAGGTGTGTGCTATTTTGAAGTTTTGTTTCATTGTAATTTGAATTCAGTCTTTCAGTATGACTTTTTTCGTAAAAATTGCCACACAAACTTTACAGGTTTGTGTTTAATCCAGATTGATCTTGTTTCTTCTGATTTTACTTTTCTCCAATGCATGGATTTTCTCCTTAGAATATGGATCGCGTTTTAAGCTTTTTTCATTAAAAGGATAAATTGAATACAAAGATTATTTTTAGGTTTAGTGCAAGATAAATTTCAACAATTATATGCATAATGTTTTATAGATCAAATCTTCCATCATTGAAAAATATTAAATTTAGGATAATGCGTATTTTTCTGTAAAAGTTTTAATAAGAAACGGTTTAAAGGGGGTAAAAATGAAAACCCAGCTTTATGGTCTTCCTCTCAAACTCGAAATCACCCTAATCAAAGTTAACTCACGTTTCTTTGATATTTTATTGTTTATCAAAAAGGTGGTCCCTAGTATTGGTACGAATCTATGTCCCTTTATCACTAAAATATAAAGAACTACAACACTGATATAAGTCCCTGTCCCCGTTTTCTAGTCAAGGTAAAAAAGGAGATTGTGTTAAAGGGTAATGAATTTCAACTTCTAAAGAATTCCTTATCTAGTTTGTTTAACGAAATAACAATTAGATATCAGAACTCTATTTGAATCTGTTTTGTTTTTCTCAGAAACAAATCTCTATTTTGACCCAGGGAGATTTTGCTCGTTGAAAAGGACCAAAAAAGTTTTGAATCAAAAATTTCTGTATTGCATGCAGAGGATGGGTGTTCAATCCAGTATTGCATTATCACGAAATTTCTGACATAGTCTATATGATTAGGCAATAGTTCTCATTGTAGAGTCGAGCAGGGGCGAGACAATATCCGTGGCTGACATATTTAAAGTTGTACACCTTTTTCAATCATATGCGCTAACCTTCAAAAAACATAAAGGTGCACCCCAGCATGATTCATGAATGTGAAATACACGGTTGCTGTTTCCTGTACTATTCAACCTTGAATTGTTCAAATGGTTCATTGGTTGAACAATTTAGACACTATTAATTTTCAACATTGATAATTAGTTTGAAGTACCTTGCGAAACTTTCATTAAAGTAAGAACAGTCACTCGTAGTATACAATTTTGAGGCTAGAAACTTTTGCTGGTGCAGTGACAAACATTTTTGAAATTGCAGCAAATTAGCTGCCACGCGATTTTGTTGCACTATGTTCTGTTTTATCGTTGTTTGATCTGCATGACAAAAAGGTGTTTCTGATCAATACAGGAAAGAAAACAGATTTATTTTTATCTGAAACTGCAAAAATTGTAGAATGTTTCTTCTTAACAATGCTGCGCCAGCACTGCGAGTTTTGGCAACCAATATTTGCCTGGTTCATAATAAGGAAATGAAATTATCCTGTCTTAGTAATCAAATAACTTTGTGTTAAGTGTTGATAACATCATGAAACATTTTTATCATTTCAGATGCTTCGGGCTTCTTCTCTCTCCTGGTAAAAATGTAGAGCACCAAAATATGCACCTGCTTGATCAGGTTGGTTACACTATTCAATTCTCACCTATGATATTCATTAAGCTTTTTCCAACATGTTTGTCTCGGTGTTTCCATTCTTCCACTGCGTGTTTTATTGTTCATTTTTAATAGGCACATTTTCCCCTGATTCCGTTTGTTGTGGATATTAATTTCATGTTCCATCATATTCAAAAAACTGTTGAAGGGGGGGGGGGCGTGATCAAACGACCAAGTTTCGATCACCATTAAGACGACTACTCTCGTTGCCAGCCAAGATTTGATGTGTATTTTTACATGCATGCACTATGATTCGACATAGATTTATTTATATACATTTTATGACATGTTCCTTCTGTAAATAGAAATCATGATAAAATGGCTCATTTACGATCCCAAGGAAAACGTCCATTCTTCTCTTTTTATTATATGAACAACAACATTTTCTGGATATATGCCCATTGATAGTTAATTATTTCTACAAAGTTTGCTTTTTATTTTAAAATTGACTTCTTTTTCGATGTGCAGGTACAAATGGAATCACGAAATTCCGGTCGGGTCAGCATAATCTATGGAACTTGGAATCCAGCATGGCCAGATATGAAAGTTTTGAATACTGAAACACAAAAAGGTAGATTATTTCAGCACTCTCATTATTTTATATTTTATTTGTATATTTTATTCTATTTGTTTTATTTGTTATGTTCTTATTCTAGGGCAGGAAATTACTTCTTTTCTAATGATGGAGCTATCTGTTTAACATGCTAAATATTGCGGCGGTTTTACTTTATCCCATTTCCTTTTTTACTTTTTTCCCATTAGTTTTAGTGGATTTCTAAATCACTCGTGAATTTATGGAAATCTGGTAATTCTCTTCGGGAGATGAAATAATTGAGAAAATCTTCATCTGATTTGTGCATAGTTAAAGATCTTTCCTAAGAAAGTGCGTAATATGACCTAAAGGCTTTAGTCCCATTTATTTAAACTTTCATTTAAATTCTTCTGTGTAGAAAAATACGTTCTAGATTATTAAGGTGCATCTGCATTTATATCAAGATATCTCATGTATGAAAATTAGTACGGTGTAATACCGATGCCAAGATTTGTAATTCCGTTCCCTAACTACTTTGTGATTAAAGACCAATTCTCTCCATCTCTCCATCTCTCCATCTCTCCATTTCAAAGAATTTTGATTATTTTTATAGCTAGCTTTAAATATTAAGACTAAAAATGTGATTCCGTTACCAATATGTGCTGTGAATTATATCTGGAAAATTTGAAAGAAAAAATGCTATTTTTAAAACATGTGTGCAACTAAGAATTTTTTCATTTAGATTGTTACAGGTGCCACATAATCATGAAATTCTTAAAAAATGATTTAAAGTATACGAAAACTGCTCTGAAACGTAATTCGGTTGCAAAACGTTTGCCCAATTCGTTTTCCATAGACCGAATCTCATTTGAACATTTGAAATGTATGGAATTTCTAAATATACTTATTCCAATTATATAAATGCCCATTGTTAAACTTTTGGAAAAGTTGAAAACTAACTGCGGGAACCTGTGCTCTAATTCATCTACTTCACAGTTTGCAAAAATGTTAGGAGTTGTGCGTTGACATTTTGATCGATTTCTTTTCTAGATAAAAGAGTGTTCATATCAGTAGCAGCTGATCTCATCTTTTCTGACCTCAAAGAACCTGTACGAATCGTAAAGGAATCCAAAGTGAAGGTTTTTCCAAACAACGAAAAATTCTGGAATCCTTCGAAACCAAGATTGCATGAAGAGTATTTGATGGAGTTAAAAGAGGTGGGTTAAGTTCTAGCACTCTTTTCTGCTTTTAGGACACTGAAAAGCTATGCTTACTGAGCATGTGACCACACCTCGTGATTCCTATGTCTGGAATAACTATAAGCTTGTGACGTTAATGACGCCATGGCTTGTGATGTTAATGTCTATCTAATATGAGAAGATCTTCAATGAATTCTTAATTTCAATGAGCAACGTATCAAGAATGAATTACAACAGAATGAATCAAAAAAGGCAACCTTTAGTAAGGACCTGCATTCAATGAAGACGCCACGATTTCATGAAACTGATAAGATTGTTGAATTCAATAGCCACTGAAAACCGGTGTCGACAAATGGCTAAATCACCTCTTATTCAATGATCGCTTATTCATGCCTGCTATTAAATTACAGTCCTCTAGACGTCGTAAGCAAGAAAATCCCCCACATACTCGTAAATTCATTATCGACCACATTATTTGGATCCAATTTTTTTCCCATCTTCAACCATTTTCACCTTGTTCAGTTTCAACTAGAACTATCATTACAAGCAAACTGTTACGTCCTTTACTATTTCTATTTGCGTATGGTAGATCCTCTTTTTAAAGGCCTCTGCTCTCTAAGTGGTATACGCTTTTGTTAATTTTTTTAGCACTGCTCTAAGAGCATAAGGATTGCTTAGGCAAAATGTGATTCATTACCTTACTAGAGGAGTAACACATATGACTCAGTCTTTATGTTATATGACTCAGGCTAAATAATATTTCCATTTTACACAGAAAATGTACGATAAAACCCTTATTTTTTAAAAACACCAGTAAACACAAGAAGTGCACGCATCTATAGCCTGAAAAATTCTTTCAAAGCCGCCCATTGTGATTGAAATTTGCTTCTTTATACAAAATTACTTAATAACTATGAAGCTCTTGTGTATTTTTCCTCATTTTCATTTGCAGAATTTCCTAGACTCTGGTGAGCGATATTTCGAGCTGAGCAGTCTGTTGAGCTTTTCAGCCCTTGCGAAATCAAGACACACCAAATCGCGAGAGTCTTCTCTGCTGTCAAGAGTATCTTCGAAGAAGTCGAGTTTTATTTCTGATTCATCGGCCGATGAAGAGCCGGTTGAAATTATGGGTAAGCATTGAATAACTGAATTAATCATGAATAACTAATCATATTATGGCTTAACTGGATTCGAGAGGGGATTAAAGACCAGATTTACGCAACTTCTTCTTATCAATATGCAATATGGACAACTGCATTCTCAAAGAATCTTTTAATCATAACTAGAAGAGTATACTGTGATTTACGCGCTGTGCCTTTTGTCTGATCTACACACTCCCAAAAATTAAAAGCTGAAATTCCTAATTGAGAAAGTTTCTAAGTTCTGAATCCAGTTTCTAATTGCCAAGGTCTAGCTGAGAGTAATCCTTGATTGTCCTCTGGAAAGTAAAATTTCTTTTTTTAGTCCTGCATTGCATAAGCTAGGAAGGTAGGCATTTATATGACATGTATTTGGAGACGGCAGTAGTTAGAGTGTATCTTTAAAATCAATTTGCACCATTTTTTAATCTAATCAATTTAATGTGTGTCGAAATTTCAAAAAAAAATTCAAAAAATGAAAAAATTTAAAAGAAGTAAAAATTGAAGAAAATGAAAAAACAATGAAAATAAAATTAAAAAAACCAACTGTCCTCTGACAAACGATACTGTCACAAACCTACTGTACTGTGTATGTAGATAACTTAAATATAGAGAACACACATTTTAAAATTATATGCTCTATCTGAGCCAGACCAAGTCAGCCAAGATAGGTCACAACCACATCGAATATGGATCAAAATAGTGACTTTTTTAATGTCTTACGTTATTGCATCTGAAAGTTTCATTCCATCAACAGTCTTAAGTCAAAGGTTTTCTTATAATAAATCCGAAATTCCCTGCAGACATTCTAAATCAAAATTATTTTATTATGCTTATATGTTTCTACTAAGAAATAATCGTTACTGTACAGATCGGAAATAATCGGTTACAGTAAATTCTAAGTCCCTTCAACATGGAATCGTTTGCTGGAAATCAGTTCTAAGTCAGATCCACTATTGCATCTAACCATTTGCTCCACTTCAAACAAATTATTCATTTTCCACTGTTTCGAAAAAGCAATATGTCACCTTATCATGTCAAAGGCTTTGGCAAAAGTATCTCTCAAGCCAAAAATTTATTCAATTCTATTCACTTGTAGTATAGCCTCTGCCGCTTGCCGCATTAAAAAATTTTCATCTCGAAATTCCAGTTGTTTATTTAGTTATAGAGCAAGAACATTTCTCGCTTTCCGAGAACAATACCGATTAAAGGCGAATCAATTTGGTAACTCTGTGGTGTCACAAATTTCAGCTCTCATACCCCTTAATATTGTCTGCTTGCTTAGAATTGTTTATATACTTCAATTGCCTGAAGTATCTTCAAAATACAACCAATGACGCTTAACCTATGAAATTGACTTGTTAATTTGAAAATGACTTAAAAGAATGCAACGGTTCTTTGTTTGTCAGCTTCATTTCATTGTTTTGACACTGACATTTTTTTGTTAGTTGTGATCTGTCGTACGCTGCAAATTAGCTTTAGCTTAGATTTTGTGGCTTTCTTTGAATGTTCTAATTTTCACAAAGTTTCTGGTCCACTACTGGTCCACTACTAGACGTTTTATAGTCACATTCTCAAAAGTTGTAACACACACTTAAATACAACGTAATTGTAACATCTATGAATTTGATGTGTTCGTATTGCGAATGGCCGACGTCTGATTATGAAGCTATGCACGTGAAAACGAGATCGTACTAAATATCACCAAACCAACAATTCCTTTCCTTGTAACTCAATTCTATAAACGAATTACATGTGACTATAATGGTAAAAAACTACTTAAAAGATTTGAAAACCAATAGCAAGATCATGATCACCAGGCTAAAGTTCATTAGAATAGTTATTTAACCCGATTTAGTTCACAGGACATTTGAGATGAAAAATTAAGACTCGCCCCTGTTTATCACTATTGAAGAAGTTTTGGAATTCCTAGCCTTTGATTCTCTGTTTTTGGGTTGAATCTATAACTTTGTCTTTTTCGATTGAATTCGGCATTACCAAAGAATTTTTTGACCCGATTCCTGTGTTAGATTTTAATTCACCTTTTACTGTATGTTATTTTTGCGTGACTACAATGCCAGTCTGCATTTTTCACTTTCACTTTGCCTTTTCTTTTGAATTTTGATTACAAATCATCTTCATCTTCAAGGCCCTGAGGAGGAGGATGACGAGCCGTTGTTATCTGGAAGTGGCAAAGTTGAAAAAGAATACACTGAGGAGGAGCTGGCAGGTTGGTCTGAAATGCTAGAAAAGTGGAAGGATTACCAGACTAGGCCCAAACAGCTGGTGCAACTTGTCCGGAAGGTAATTTCTACATCCTTTTGCAAGCTAACCCAACTTCTCCGTCCTTCATCCCCGACCTTTTTCTCCAACCTTCTTCTCCGACCTTCTTCTCAGACCTTCTTCTCAGACCTTCTTCTCAGACCTTCGCCAATCTTCTACGATCTTGGCTACGTTTAATACCGAGCTTGATACGCATTACCTCGGCAATGACTAACACAAACAAAAAACCATCTTGTTCTATGTATCGTTACGCTAGAGTTTGTGGTTAATTTGGAACGAAACACGTCTTAAAGAAACAGCTTCCGACTTTCTGATGTGTCTGATACAACAGCGTTGAAAGTGGGCTTGGAGGCTACTGAAACAATTCAATCTACTGAAACTAGCTTAATTGTTTTTGTGCATTCATAATATTTGAAGATTTGGTTACACGAACTAGTTCAAAACCCAACGCGAAAACTTAAGTCTTTAACTAATGTTTCTTCCTTGAGAAGGTGGCTATGAACTGCATAACTTTGGTTGTGAACTTAGGTTTTGACTCTCTCAGATGGGCAGTACACCTTCCTGAAGAATGTCTGACTTTACGACAGTTCTGATCTATACTGAAGGCTGCCTTGCAAAGTATCAGCCGCAAGGTTTTTTGTTTGTAAAATCAGTTGATGAAGTTTTAAAGCTTTTCATAAAATACTAGCCCTGTGAAAATTTGTATATTTAGTTGACAAACGAGTATTTTATTTCCGTTCTCTAGTTCCAGGAATTAAATTATCATTTTGAAACGTATGTAATTCCTATCAATTGACATTTGTGCAGCTGTGTCCGGCTGCTTCTTTTAGGCCAAACTCTGTGTAAATACGACAGCTTTTTCAGGTTAAATTTAGGTTTAGACAAGGGTACTTCAGTCTGAAAATAGCTCCCACCCTAGCTTGTACTTGCTTTGTATTTAAACATCGTCTGTTCGTGCAGTCAAGCCTGTTTAAAGGCCGCCTTAATCAAACAGTCTTTTTATTATCTTGAATGACCTTGTAGCAACCAAGGCGCAACAAGTAAAAGCTAGCTCATTTTTTATTATCACAAGATATAATCGTGTTTCTCGAGATCCCTCATTGGTCGTGTCATGTAATCTTCGAAAAAACAATCAGTACGATTTTGATCTTAAGAGCAATCTTTTTCTAAAGATTTAAAAAGCAAACATGAACAAAAAAATTAAAACTTGTCTAATAGCAAACCTCTTACTGTCGTTACATATATTTTTTGGGTATTTACAAAATTAGAATATAAGCCAAAATGACCTTTTAAAAATTTTTTTAAAAAATACTTGCCTCTATTTTTCAGGGTGTACCAGACCAGATGCGTGGTGACATCTGGCTGAGGCTGGCTGACGTTGATCTAGATTCTGAGATTCTCCACAATTACTCAGTGCTTACAAAAAAGGTACGACTGCTTCAAATTTCATGTTTACTATAAATCGTCTGTTATACCTCCATGGAATATGGCTCAGCTGAAACACAAGGATGCATCTGACTTGGTTTGTATTACGTTTTGCCCTAACAACATAAATATTTTTTTACCTATGCTCATAACATATTACAAAAGACACGATATACAAAGTGATATCACAGGGAGCACGGAACAGCGTATCTAGAACGTCGTCATTTGGGACAACCAGCTAGCCTGCAAGGGGTTTGCTGCAAAAGGGAATAAGGAGTTTAATAGAAGTTTGCTTACTTGTGCCAAGATGCAGTGTTGGCGACAGAGGGGGGCAGGGGGGCTACAGGCTTCTCATCAGAGCTGCTTTGCCCATCCGTCGGAAGATATACAAAGTAAATGTATAATTTTGTCGATTTGCTACCGTTTGTAAAAATTTTACAAAAGAAAAAGAGTAACTGATTACAGAAATCCCTTTGAGTATTAACGTACAACCAGGTAACTCCCAAGTAACTTACACACCCTATCGGGGAACTCATTTCTCCCTTTCGTCATACAATATGACAATCGAACTATCAATATAAACTATCAAAGAGAAGAGGGAGTTTTGCCATGTATCATGTGTCATCTTTCTTATAATCCCTAAGCCGGAATATTTACTTAGATATCACCGAGAATGGTCTCAATTATCGATAGCCCCAACAAATGTCACTAAATTTTGTTTTGATTTTTTTCAATGTCAAAATAAGACACGGGAAGAGGTTTGTGCAGAAAAATAACCTTGGCAGTTGAGTAACAGTAGAATTTGAAACCTTTGACCGGCCTATTTGGATGAATCTGTTATATACCAAGCTTTTATTTCAATTTAGAAGCTAATGAGTTGTACCATTTTATTGCCTTCAGCTTGTCAAATCGGCAGAGAGATCGGGTTATTTGCAAAATCTTTGGTTGGTTTTAAACAAACTTTTTTTTCTATGAGAAAAAAACGTCAAGTATTGCAATTTCTTACCGATTTGGGACATTTCAATGCTCAATGTTTCATACAAGTTCAATATTGATGATGTTTTTAATTTTAACATTTAGTGTCCTACATTTATTTTCCGTCTTGGAAACTTTTCCAACAGAACTTTGTTGAGGAGAGGTTTCAGTGAAACTCGTCAATGTTTCTATTGTTTTCAAATGCTCGTGGCATTTCTATCAAGAGATTCAGTTCTAATGCTTTATTAAGATAAGGGAAGCATATTCTGCTCTGTGTCTACAGTTTTATGCCAACCAGCTAAACACCTTGTTAGAATTTTCATGAAATTTTGTAGTTCTTGGCTTTTAAAATTTATTAGTTTCTTAACTTTGTTGCTTTGAGTACTGAAGTTTGTTAATTTTTGCTTGTCCAGTACTCTTTTCTCTGTTCCAGTATTCTTTTATGATTCTATTACCCAGTACTCTTTCTCTGACTCAGAACTCTTTTGTTGTAGTTAGTTTCTTATAAAAATTGAGTGTAATTCCATTTATTACTTCCAAACGAGCCTGATCTCAAATAGCACATGTTTGCCTTCTGGTTTGTGTGTATTACCAAGCTGTGCCTTTTTGCTGTATGAAGACAGTATAATTCATACACATACACAAATTTGCCCTTTAAATGTCCCATTTAACTCTTATTTTAGCCATTATCTTTCACTCTCCCTTCCTTTCTCATTTTCTCGGGCACGTTTCCTACTTTGCTGCTAGATATTTTTGCAGATTTCTAGTTGCACTGTTTTGGCAATATTTTGCTGTAAAGTCTTGCCTACAAACCATGGCAAGCCTACTTCCACTTTAGCTTTAAGATACACTTTTAAGGTACCTTTTGGTCATGTAGCTATCTGTTTCCAATGATTAAAATTTGTTTAGTTGGGCATTTATCTATTTTTGTGTTGCAAGGCTGTTCTTTACTGTCTCTCTTTTGAAAATCATGATCCTCTTGGTGGTCTCATGACTTCGAACCAATTCAATGTATTTATAGGAAGCACTTCTAAGTTGGCTTCTCTTATGTAAAGGTCAGTGTTCTAAGAATTCTCCGAGCTAAGGCTGTGATATGTCATCATCAATATCGTTCAATTTTTGAAATACTTCCTTTCGTTAGTAGGTATCACTTTTTTGGCGTTACTGTCATACCTTATTAAGAATAGTACTTTGTGTTGGTATCTTGTACTCTTCTTTCTTATTTCAAGACCTGGAAACAGAAAGGTATTTGTGGGATTTAATGCCACCTTCCCCCCTCCCCCCGAGAGCTACGACGTGCTGCTTGCTTTTGAAATTTTGAAATTAGGAAACCCTTCAAATTAGGCTTGGAAACGAGGGAGGGTGAAGTGTCTAATTTGTGGTGCTAATAACAGATCAAGCCAGAGTAGTAAACTACGTATTAAAGTGATATTTTCTTTATCGTACGAAAGGTATTCTTTTCAGCTCAAACTGACGTAGAATGGTGGTTTCAAATTATCTGGGCTCCTAAATGGCACCGGGCCTTGGTTAAATGCCCCCATCTCAGTGGGTCCTGGGATATGGCTGCCGAGACCCCCTCTCCCTTCCAATTGATATGATCTATTTACTGGCTTACTTTGATCAATTCAATATGTCAAGATCAACTCATTGTCCCCCTAGTAGTACCTTGTATATATTCTAGTCTCTTACTGGGCAAAAATATGAAATCAATGAAATTTGATGTGTGTTTTGGAGTAGGATTATATAAACGTATATCTACACGCTTTTTAAACGAACACTTGGCTCCAGTTTTAGCCTAGCGCTTCTTGTTTTTCTTGCATTATTTCTGTCTAACGCGTTTCTTATATTGTGACTTATTTTTGTATTAAAATTTCCTGTGCATAGTAGTGTCCGGACTTAACATGTGCTCGATAAAGCTATTAATGCTATTATGCTTATCGCCTTTTTTGTTGCTATTCTTTCATTTTTCAATTTTTGCTGGTATCAGCCTGCCTTGTTTTCTATGTTTTTATTTTTTTGGCAAATTCCAGTCTGATGATTCTTATAAGGGCTTTTCTTATAAAATTCTGAAGGTGTAACCGAAGTGGCGTAAATACCTTACCCTGGGATATCAGCAACTTCCAATAAAGCATTTCTTACCCAAGCTTATTCCTGAAATTGGGGTTTTTTATGTGAAAAGTTGTCTTGTCTTCCTTGATATTTCTCAGCTTGAGATATTTAAAGGGAAAGGCGACCTCTTGTTTCAGGTGATAAAATGTCAGATTAGAAATTTTACCTGTAAGAGTTAAATGTCTAGTCGAGGTTGCACGTGGTTTTTGCCTGAAAATCATGATGTGATCATCCATCTCTTAGGAGATGCTCATGTTTCAAATCTAATACAGTGAAAAGTTTACTGTAGCATTCTTTTTGTTAAAACCAAAGTCCAAATTATCCTTTCCCAAAGTGTCCATTACAGTCGTATCACCAAAATGTTAGATTTTGCAACCCTTAAAAATTGTCACTTTTTCAATTCTTGGACTCGCTTGATAAATTTGTACATGCTCTTCCAGCTCAGACGTAGCCTGCGTGCAGACGCAACGGATAGTAAAGTCTGCACGCAGGCTAGCTCAGACGTTGCATCAGCCAACACAGTTGGAGCTCTTAAGTTTTTCTTGTTTCTTTCCGACGTTAGTTTGGCAGCAAGATAAGTATTTGTTTCAAGGTGCTATCAGCTCCTGTTATTTTGTTGGGTTCAAATTCCTAGTGTGTATATCCTCAGAGAATATAAGATGTGCTGCTCACACCCCCTGTTTGGTGGATGTTTCCCTTAAAAGTATGAAAACGAAACTAGAACATTTAACATAAACTGCACAGCCTTTTTCCTAGAGACTTCAGAGGTCAAATAAAGAAGTATCATCCCGATTGAAGGGCAGTTGCCCCCACCCTAGCAAGTATGTTTACAAAGGCCCTGATGCAGTGCTAATTTAATGATTTGAAACATATGATTCAAAGCAACAACGTTTCTTGAGTATTGCACGTGGTTATATAGATGATGTAAACAAGTGCAAACGCTTCCGGGATGCCCTCATGCTAGAGATCTTAATTTAGTAGATCGCGTCATTCTCATTTTCGATGGATTATTTCTTTCTTTGTTGATTGGAGGCTTGTCTACTTGGCTTATTTCATTAATCTTCATGTATATTTCCATGAATTGATTAAAATCAATCAATGGGAATCGAAGAAAGTTGATTAAACAAACATTTCTGTAGGCCAATGGGTTGTTATTTCATGGTTTAATGGTGACTGATAATAGAAGTTGTAGCTGGCTGGTAAAAGTCTTTATTAAATTTATTTTGATGCATCATTGCTTAGTCAAGTCCCTCTAAAGTGTTATTTCTCATCACTTTTTTGTTGACATCTTGTGTGCTGTATGTAATGAATGAATAATACCGAAGCAATAAAAGCATTTTTATAAGCACTTTTTGGTTGCATTTCACATCGAAAACCAATAGTTTTTCAAACAAACATATGATAACTATTTCTAATACGTTTTAGTAGCCATAGTCTTGAATTGCACTTCTCATCAAGCGAATGGTTTGTTTACGTTTTGAACAAGGAAACTGATAATCGCCATTGAGTTGAATTATCAGGGTATTCCCCCTTGCGTATCTCAGTGAAACAGCAACTCTTTGTCCATCAGATACTGATCACATGCCCAACAATATCACATGATCTGACTGTTTATAAAACAGTTTATGAGTAGATCGCGTTAGTTGTGATAAAAGACGCGAGGCGGTAGAGTGTGCTCAGTGATCGAAACGTGAAGGCAAACATTTCTTGATAAGCTAAAGAAAAATGGAAGACATTTCTAGTTACTTTCGCTTCCTGATGATAAGTTACACCTTATTTGGTGGACTTGGGTTTATGAAGAAAAGTTCAAAAGACGAAAAAGCCCCAGAGGCTGCAAGTTTGAGTAGCTCGGCGCCAACTCGACTGACTTCACGGAAGAAGGAAGGCGCAGAGCATCGTGCAAAAAGTGACTTGGAAAG